CTTGAACCTTGAAGATGTCTCCCACATGACTCCTGTGGAGTAATTGGATTGGACTATGGGCTGGGGTTACCAAGGGGAGGGAATTGGGTCATACATTGATATATATTCTTGCACACGTTTTTATCTCAGATCCAGCTTAGCTTAGCTTCTATTTACTTATAACCAGTAAAAGTACTCTTAATTCTGCAAAATGGAGTTGAGTGGTTTCTTTCTTGGTTACTAAGTGAAGCAGCCCTGACAGATACCAGCTGAAAGTTTTCTTAAAATATTATCTGAATTACTGAAGGGTGTTTTGCAAACATATTTGTTATCATCAGCAGACAGAGATGAGAGTTATGATACTTGATTGGTCATCTTCTCCCGGCTTCACACCTTTATTTTTCAGTGTGGAAAGGGGACAGAGGAAATCAGTGAGAAGTGGCTGTAGAAGGAAGAACTAGAGTCAATCCAAGGAAGAAGGGGGGGGGATTCTCTCAACAAAGGGTTGGCGAGCGGAGAAGAGTAGAGATTGAAACAAAAAGCACAATAGTGAAATTTCATGCACCTCAGAGGAGACGTAATTTGAGGGGCCTTTATTGATTTGTAGAAGGAGAGTCACAGCTACATACTATGAATGAGACAGGAGTATTTTCATGAAAGCCTATTCATTAAAAACTTGAATTCAGATATTCCCGGAGTGGTAATAACAATTTCTACCACAGCAGCCATGTCCTCTGTAGGGGAAGAGATTCCCCACCTCACCCCCGCTCCCCATTAATCCAATATAAATTGAGAAACAATTTGGGGAAGATTGACTGTAGGAAAATTTATATCTCTCCCCCCCCCCCCTCCTTCCCCCAAGCCATGACCAAAACAGCAAAGCAAAGGCGAAGAATATTGAGCTGTTAGTTCTCTACTCACTTAGATTGGGGTATTTTCATACAAGGGACTTATAATTGTTGATTTTTTGGCCCTGACAATCTAGACACACAGTTTCCCCAATCTCTGTTTTAAATGGTGAGTTTTTGTTCGAAGAAATAATTGGGCAAAGCTGTATTTCTTACTAGTGTTGCTGTAGACATTTCCAAAATCATTGGAAATATAACCATGTTAGTAGCTCTTTTGATCCCACCTGACTTTCTTTTTTTGCTCATAACAATTCTTAAATGTAATTAGAACGTTCCAAATATTTCAGAGTATTTAATTCCAACTGAGTCTATGACTTCACACATCATGCCAAATTACTCTCTATGTCTCGAATTTAAATGATAATAATATTCTTGCTGTTACAATTATTTTAATGTGAACGACAACAGAATCCCAGGAAACAATAGCCAGGATCCCTGGTGATGAGGTGAATTGCAGTCTATCAACTTGACAATAAAATGTGTCACAAGCTGAAACAAGAAAGATGAATTGCGGGTGGGGTGGGGGTGTTTCTCCCCTATAGGAATATAGGAAACACTACCTTTTTAATTTATTATCTGTGTTTTCTAAAACCTATTATTTGAATTCTTTGTTTTGAAATGAATATAAATTTGCCGATACAGTACAGGTCGTCCTTGAGTTTTGACCACGGTTGAGCCCAAAATGTCTCTTGCTAAGCGAGACAACTCTTCAGTGAGTTTTGACCCATTTTATGACCTTTTTTGCCACAGTTGTTAAACAAATCACTGCATTTGTTAAGTTAGTAACATGGTTGTAAATTGAATCTGGATTCCCCATTGACTTTGCTTGTCAGAAGGTCGCAAAAGATGATCACATGACCCCGGGACACTGCCACCATCATAAATACGAACCAGTTGCCAGGTGACCAAATTTTGATCACATGACTATGGGGAGGTGAAAAATGGTCATGTCGCTTTTTTGGATGTCGTCGTGACTTTGAATGGTCACTAAATGAAAGTTGCAAGTTGAGGGCTACCTGTACTCCTTCTGAAAGGGGAAACTATATCTACTGCAATCTCTTTTTGTTTTAGTTACTTGTCATATTACTTTCTGTTGCTTCCAGATTCTGAGACACTGTACTACTGAATATCAGTGGTTGAGAGAAAAAGGAGAAGGAGGCCTCCATTCACCTCAGGTCCAGGTTGAGCACCTGATTTTTGTTGGAAATAGGAGTTTGAAGTAGAGTGTCTCAGAAAGGCTTCCTGCATGGGTTGTCCTCTTGTCATTGTTATTCTTTTTATGGATTATCTTCTTGTGGTTCTTTTTGCCTTATACTTCATTGCGACATCTTGCTTTTTTTGGTGTTGGGGGAGGGGGAACATTTGGGTAGAAATCAAAAGTAACTTTTTCCTTCTCCTTTCTCTTTCTCCTTCTCTTTCTCCTTTCTCCTCCCTTCTCCTTTCTCCTCCTTCTCCTTTCTCCTCCCTTCTCCTTTCTCCTTCTCCCTTTTCTTTCTGCTTCTCCCTTCTCCTTTCTCTTTCTCCTTCTCCTTTCTCCTTCTCCTTTCCCCTTCTCCTTCCCATTCTCCTTCTCCTTTTCCTTTCCCTTTCCCATTCTCCTTCTCCTTTCTCCCTTCTCCTCCTGCTCCTGCTCCTCCCTCTCTTTACCTTCCAGAGCCAGAGCATGAGCTTTTCCTTGTCTATGGCAAAGGTCGGCCAGGCATCATTCGTGGAATGGACATGGGAGCCAAAGTGCCTGATGAACACATGATCCCCATTGAAAACTTGATGAACCCCAGAGCTCTCGATTTCCATGCAGAGACCGGCTTCATTTACTTCGCTGACACTACCAGCTACCTGATTGGACGGCAGAAAATTGATGGAACAGATAGGGAAACAATTCTGAAAGACGGTATGTGTTTTTGCTCATGGAATGTCTACATTAGCATGTTAAAAATTAGAAGTGGCACATGGGACATAGAATGGAAGGAATAGGGTTTGATATGTAAATTTGGGTTTGGGAGACATAACTTTTATTCTGAATATAAGCCGGTCACTATTATCAGAAAGAATTGCATTGTCTAGCTTCAACTATTTTTTTCTAAATGCTTTTTAGACTCATTGTGATGTTTGTAGGTATGTACCTGAAGACTTTCTCCCACTGAATCTATGACTCTTTTAAAACAGATAATAAGGTGGTGTGAGTATGTCTGTCATGCCTTGTCAATTTCAGTAGTGATCGTATAACAAAACACATAACTCTGCTTGTATTATCATATTGCGTTCAACCTTCAGTGCCACGTCCTCATCTGCATGACTTGATCATGTTCAGCACATTTCTCACTTTATCTTCTTCCAGGCATTCATAACGTAGAAGGCATTGCTGTGGACTGGATGGGGAATAATCTCTACTGGACTGATGATGGACCCAAGAAAACCATCAGTGTTGCCCGGCTGGAAAAAGCTGCTCAGACTAGGAAGACACTCATTGAAGAAAGGATGATTCATCCGCGAGCCATTGTGGTGGATCCCTTGAATGGGTGGGTCTCTGCTGGCTGTGGATCCTAAGGGGATCAGGAAATCTGCTTAGGGAAATGGAGCAGAATGTGTCTACAGGAACAGTGAATTCTAGAGATGTCAAGCAAACCTCCAGCAAGCAAGGCATCTATTATGCAGATTTCCGTTGCTCTTACTTTTCAGCTTTCTAATATTCATGTATGACATTTTTATCCTCATTCTTCCTCTAATGGAATTCTGTCTCTAGAATTTTTTATGTTGCTGTAATCTTTATAATTTACACTTTTATGTGTGCCTTAACATAAGCTTGGAAAAGGTCTAAATCATTCAATTATATGACTGTACAGGCAGTACATAACAGTGACAAGAAAAATGAGGTAGAAGACAGGAGGGTAATTTAGGACCACATTACTACATTATGCTGGGAAGCCCATGTTTGATCTCCCATAACTTTATTTTCTTTATAATTAAATGCATCTGTGGAAGATTGCTAAATGGGTGTGCATGTTTTTCTGATCTAAATCTCCCCTTGTCAGGAAAAAAATCCATCTCTCTCATAGCAAGCAGGCAAGGTTGGAGCTGTTCAGATCTAAAATCTCATGGGAAACAACCTCTGTCATTATAGTTCTTTCAGGAAATTCTTTTTAAAAAAATAATCTTATTAAAGTTTACAAATACAGAGTTGAAAAACTAATACAAAAAATAAAAGAAAAAGATAAGTTGAAAGAGAAAAAAACAAATTAAAAAACTATCTATCTATCTATCTATCTATCTATCTATCTATCTATCTATCTATCTATCTATCTATCTATCTATCTATCTATCATCAAGATAGATAGATAGATAGATAGATAGATATAAATGACTACTTCCTTCTTCCAAGACCAGTATAAAAAATGTATTAACTAATATTTCAATTAAAAAACATCTTCCCGTATTTCATCTCTTAGTAATCAAACTATAAATAGTAACAGCAGACTTATATACTGCTTCACAGTGCTTTACAGCCCCCTCTAAGCTGTTTGCGGAGTCAGCATATTGCCCCAAACGCCTATTAAAAACTAGCAGAAATACACTCTGTGTTATATGTGGGTGTATGTTTATGTAGGTTTATGTATGTGTGTATTTAACCTTAGTTAAATCCATTTTGTATTTCAAGTGATCATTATCTTTTAAGACATGAAGCAAAAACAACAACAAAAATCTCTCTCTCAAAAATAAATTTCATTAATTGCTACCAGAAACCACCACATGTATATTTAACCCTGGTCAAATAAGTTTCACTTTATATTTCTTCTGTTGATTTTTTCTGAAGCTTGATCTTTGTAATCATGTCAAATAATTTCCCAGCAGTTGATTTCTTCTCATTTTCTCTTTGTCTCCTTTCAGAAACAACTTCAGTAGCTTAAGACATCTTCTTTGTTAATCCAAGATAAGAAGATTTTCCAAATAATTCTTCTGATTTATTATTTCTTTAGTTATTAAGACATTAGCTGGCTCCAAATGTAAATCCATTGTGACATCCTTTTTTCATATCACTCTTGTAATTTGGCTTTCTAAAATCCATTTGGAAATCCACATTAAAATCAGTTTCTCTCTTAACCAATAAAAAAACCCAAAACTATTCTTGTATATTCTCTTCTAAACCCCTCTTTATAGTATCAGACAATCTTGTTTCTGAGTATATAGTTCTCAAACAGCCTTAATTCTTTCTATAACCAAATAGTGTTGCTCCATTGTATTATTGAGCCACTTCTCCTTTAATTATAATCCTTAGTTCTCTCTGGTTAGTCTTCAAAGTCCCTTCTTACTGTATGTTTATTTTCCAATCAGTAAAACTTTACTAAGAGAGGATTTCTTATAATTAATTTCAAAACATTCATATATTTAATAAAACTTGAAAAACCCTACAGGAAATCTTCTTTCAAGTCTATCTAGCCTAAACCCCAACCTTTAACTTTCCAAAATCAAAATTCTGTTCCCCCTTTTGCTCTTTCAAAAACCTTTGCTTCTCATCTTTAAGCTTCTTTCATCCAAGGTAGAAAGTCTGCCATTGCTTCCCCGGAAGTCAGTTCTTCCAGGAAATTGTTAAATCTGTTGCTAGCTACCTTCTTCTTCGCTGGATGGACGAAGGAAATAAATGGAGGAGCTATCTTTGTTTTGATACTACCCAATAAGAAAAATTTACTTGAGAAAGTAGAAGCAAAGACATTGCGGAGAATAAACTATTTAAAGATGGTGATGGGTGGTGGTGGTGATGATGATGATGATATTATGGCAGGAGTTGGCAACCTTAAACATTCAAAGAGCCACAGATGTCCTAACCGGAAGCCCCCCCCCCCAAGTCTCTCTGTCAAGCATTTGGAGAGGGTCACTTAAATCCATGCAGAGTACTGTTTTTAAGAAAATGACCACCGAACAGCTATCCATGGGTAAATAATGATTTTTTAAAAGACTGCACACACGTTGACTTCCCTGTCTTTTCTCACTTAGATGGATGTACTGGACAGATTGGGAAGAAGACCCAAAGGACAGTAAAAGAGGAAAGATAGAAAAGGCCTGGATGGATGGCACCAACCGCAGTGTCTTCATCACCTCCAAGACTGTGCTGTGGCCCAACGGGCTGAGCCTGGACATTCCCTCTAAGAGTTTGTACTGGGTTGATGCCTACTACGACCGGATTGAGACAGTCATGCTGGATGGCACAGAACGCAAGGTCACTGCCAGTTTTGTCTCTATTTCTCTTCAAACAAGTTGTTCTTACTACCACTCTCAATTCTCAATAGTTTTTGTATTGGCTTTGGGCTTTTTTCTCTCTGGGCTTGAACCCAAATGGAATGATTCTTACAGTTACCAAAATGTCCTTTTTCCCAGTGCCCTATCGGTATCTTTTCAAATGACTGTATCCCTTTGCATGCAGTTGAATTGTTGGAGCCACTCACTTTAGGACAGGGGTATCAAACTCAGGGCCCCGGGGATGCTTAGATGGAAACAGCAAAGGACCAGCCCACGGTTCCTCTGCCAGTGGAAATGGAGCTCGGGAAGGTCACATATGGCCCTCCTAAGCTCCGTTTTCACTGGTAGAGGGTTGCAGGAGGCCATCGCAGTCAAAAACAGAGCTCCGGGACCCGTTTTTGTTGGCAGAGAGCTCAGGCCATCACAAGTACCCCCAACACGAGTGACATTAAGCTGGCCATGCCCACTGT